TTTTAATTTTAAACTTTTAGATATTAAAGTATATCTACATATAGAGAAAAACACTAAAAAGAAGTATACCAAAAATATAAGTAAAGACAAGATTTTTACATGGTTAACCTCCTTCTCTAGCCAGCCTAGACACTTCAACCTCTCTTTTGCCAATGTTCTTCTTATCTCACTAACTCTATTGCTGCCCTATCCAGCAAAATCTCAAATTCCAAATTCAATCCAAATGTCTGCCTTCTGTATTCCTGTACCCAGGCTGCTGAGAACTACTACAAAAATAATGCAATTGATTACAAATACTGATTACAACTGATTACAAATTTGTGATCTCCTGCCTCAACTGACCTGATATGTCTCCACTACTTACCTACTTACTTACTGGTGGTTCTTTTTTCCATTAACCACAGCTTTATACATTCTTTTATATCACTCCTATCCCATATTATAATGAAAGTCCTAACATATGCAATAAGGCTAGAAAAAGAAATAAAAGGCACTCCAATTGGAAAAAGATGAAATAAAACTATCCTTATTTGCAGATGACATGATTACATATATAGATAACCCAAAGAATCTACAAAAACTCCTAGAACTAATAAGGGAGTTTAGAAAGTTGACAGCACACAAGGTCAACACACAAACATCTATTGTGTTTCTACACACTATCAATGCACATTTGGGAATCCAAAATTAAAAACACAATACCATTTATAACTGCAAAAAAATTAAATAGCTAGGTATAAATCTAACAAATCATATACAGGGTCTGAATGCTGAAACCTACAAAACACTGATGAAAGAGACCAAAGAAGACCTAAATAAATGGAGAGACATACCATGTTCATGGGTCAGAAGACTCAATGTAGTTAAGATATCAGTTCTCTTCAAGTTGATGTACAGATTTAATGCAATCCCAATTAAAATTTCAGCAGGGTTTTTTGTAGAGATAGACAAGATGATTCTAAGATTTATATAGAAAAGTAAAGGAACTAGAATAGCCAAAACAATTCTGAAAAAATAAAACAAAGTTGAAGGATTCAAACTATCCAATTTTTAAGACATAGTATACAGCTATAGTAGCCAAGACAGTGTGGTATTGGCAGGAAGATGGTCATAAACCATAAACCAATGGCAGAATATAAAATATAAAATACAGAAAATAAAATTCAGAAATAGACCCACATAAAGATTATCAAGTGATTTTTCCACAAAAATGTAATGGCAATTCAATGAAGCAAATAGTCTTTTTAACAAATGGTACTGGTACACCTTACAACATATACAAAAATTAACTCAAAATGGATCATAGACCTAAATTTAAAATGTAAAACTATAAAACTCTTAGAAGAAAACACAAGAGAAGATCTTCATCACCTAGAGTTAGGAAAAGAGTTCTTAGATATGACATTAAAAGTAAGATACATAAAAGAAGGCCGGGCGCAGTGACTCATGCCTGTAATCCTAGCACTCTGGGTGGCCGAGGCTTGAAGATTGCCTGAGCTCAGTAGTTTGAGACCAGCCTGAGCAAGAGTGAGACCCCGTCTCTACTAAAAATAGTAAAAATAAGCCGGGGGTGGTGGCGCATGCCTGTAGTCCCAGCTACTCGGGAGGCTGAGGCAGGAGGATC